TCTTTCTCTCTGTTTTTTTTCTAATTTTTATTAATTTTTATTTTTTTTTTTAATTCTATAAATGCTGCGAGAATACCCGTGTAAAATACGTATGCAATATCATCAGATGACGTTTATGAACTAAACTAATAATAAGAATTGAAAAAATTGTAACTATGTACTTTGTTTTTTTTTTTTAACTAAATAAAACCGCGATGACGGTAATATAAAAAAAAATATTAGTAAATATAAAATTAGGCACAAATATGAGTTTTTTTTGGTTGTGTTTTGTTTTGCTTTTATTTTGTTTCTCTTCAAACGGAGGATAAATATGAACTAAAAATGAGAGTGCAAAAAAAAAAAATACTTATGTTGATCCAATCAATTGTAAGTAACCCTTTTTTTTCATATTTACTTAATTTTATAATAAAAACGAGTAGTTACATAAGTATTTGATAAATATGAGTGATTCTCTTAACAGGTAGACCGGTACTCACTATCCCGCCATTAGAAAGAAATTTTCTCTAATGCGACTATTTTTTCAGACTCAGATTCAGATATATTCTTAAAAAGTAAAATCTAGAACATAACATTTGCATTCCATTTACATATTCAAATTACTCATATGTCTAGTTTGTAAATGGTAAGCGGTCTTATTCGGTATATGCGTAAGACATAACCTTATTTTTATTGTTCAAATGTCAATTTAATAAAAAATGACATTTCAAATATTATAATTACATGTCAAAATAAAATCGAAAATATATGATAAATCTGTTGTAAATGTGAAATAATATTTTCACCTAACGGAAAACTATAACGTAACGTAACTGAATGGATTCTTTACGCATTTGTTCGTTAGTGAATTTGTGCTCAGTTTCAGCTACTCATGAGTACTGCGAACATGTAAATGAAACACAAATAATGACACAACAGTGAATTTTCGATTTCACAATTTCACTTAATTTTTCATGATAACAAAACAGTTGGAATTTTTAGTGTTGCCTATATTCAAAATAAAATTATACCACACTGATACTTAATAAATAACATTCATTGACTGAATTATGTGGCAAATATATTAAGTAAGTATCACTTATTTTTAAAAATTTGTAAATATAAAATTCTCATTATTCCTACGTGAATTTTATTATTTTGTTACTATATTAAGTATAAATTTTCCGAGTTGAATCATAAAATTATTGAGTTATCAGATTTTTGATTTTCTTTTGTCGCCTTTGTATAACTAATTGTATTTGATTTGTTATACTTAAAACAATATAACTAACTGATTCTGACGTATTACAATTATTCTCATATTTTATTATCAATAATAAAATTACATACATATACGTTGACGTATTAAAGTACAAAATTTATAATTGTACTGAACGAGTAATATAAGAAATGTTTAGTAGAGAAAGTAAATTTCCAATTCAATTATATTTAGAAAAGAGAAAATTATAAAATTATCATTAAGAGTAAGGTATGATAAAAATAAATCATTTAATTGTTCTAAAAATATAAATTTTAAATTTATAATTTTCTTAAAATAAAATCTAATATTATAGAAATACTCAAAATACAATTTATGTATAATTAGTAACTTAAAGAAAATTTAAAACATGTTATAAAATTAGGCAATTACAGTCACTTTTAAATATTTAGTCTAATTTGAAATATGACGTATGCTTTCAATTTCAGGTGCATGATAGATTTTTACCATTTGGTAATACCATACAAGTGATTGTTTACAGAAAAAGAACCATAAAAATACACTCATAATCTCTAAGTTACTGTTTGCATATAAAACAAAATCTGGGATTTAATATGAGTAAGCTTTGTCTAAACTGCAAATATTAGAACTTTCTATATTCTCATTACATTTACTGTAAGATTTTTAAAAAGTAAAATGATTTTACTTATATATATACTTAATATATTTTAGTATTGGGGGTTAAGGTGTGTAACACATAGCCTCTCGACTCTAATGTCATCCTCACTTACTCGTGGCGCCCCACGTCAAAGCAAACGAGGCTCTGGCAATCCAGTATCTAGGGATAATAACGAGATCATACTGATTGTTGGAGGTTCAAATAGACAGTCTGATCAGCGTAAGGCTGATCTTCCACCTAATGAAAATTAAATTGTCATGGAAGATCACAATATTACTCTGAACCTGAATTAAATTACAAATATGTCAAAATTTTCCTGTACTCGATAATCACATTTCAGACGCATTTTCCTTACATATAATTGTTAGTCCACGAGAATTGCTGACATGGTGACAGATACCCGATTTTTGAAATTTTGTCAAAGAAATAGAGAGTAGAAGTATTAAAGTTAAAAAAAACAAACTTTATACTCATTAACTGCAATATTTCACATAAGTCATATACACACATACATATATACAAATTATATTATTATTAAGAGGTTTTAAAGTAATTAAAAAGTTTACAAAAGAACACTGATTATTTTCTAATAAAGAAAAACCGTACCAATTTCTGATTTAATACAATACTCGTATATACTTATAGGCACATATCAAGTATAAATTGAAAATTTAAAAAAAAAAAATGTTTGTTATTTAATATGTCTACCATATGGCTTCTTTATCATAATAAATGTGTGTATAACAATATGTAGACGTATAACATTTTTCAAGCATAAAATGAAAAGAAAACTATATGAAAAAAAGAATAACTATAATTTTTAAGTTCTTAAACAGAAATCATAATATACAAATATAACCGGAGAGTATAGGCATTTTAGGGATTACCCTTCACAATTAATAGTCTCTCACATACTTAATAATATGCTCACATATGCATATTCACATACACATATATTAGGTAATATAGAATATTATATTGTTGAAGTTTATTGACATAAAAATCTTAAATTTTCATAAAGAATTTATAGGTATAACATTTTAAATCAGTTTGATATTTTTATACTTTGTGCAAAATAAAATATTCTTGCCCCTCTGTTAAAAGAAGAGCATCTGTTAAAATAAGATGATAAAAGATATTAAGAAGAAAAATTAAGGGATGTTAATTGATATGTACACACATTTTTATATATATATATACATACATACTCATGTAGTCGAATAAATTAACATTGCATTAAAATGTCTAAGGATATCAAACCTTATTTTTTGATTACAATGTTTGCAAGTTCTCAGTATAATTTAAATGAGGTTAAAAGCAAAATTTAATCTCAACAAAATTATAAAGAAAAATGTTTGGATGAAAATAAAATGTTCCTGTAATATTAATTTTTTGTTGCCACACATAAATTTATGATTGCTAATATTTGAATTCCATTTGTCTTTAATTTTTTTACCAAATTTTTGGCGATATTCAGTATATGGCGATATTTATTTTCAAATTAGTTCCTTAATGTAAATACAAAAGAATTTACTTGCTTCTTTTGTCAGATTACTTTTTTAAATTTTAATTAACATTCTTGCACTAACGTAAGGGTCCATTTAATATGTGTCACTAACACTCTAATTTATGTAAATTATATAACGAAGTTAAGTATTATATTATTAACTAAGAAATAATTGGTGAGATTTTGTTCTTCTAAATTTAAGAAGACCTGTTTGTGTATAAGAGCTTAATATTTTCTTGCCTAAAATTTTAAATATTATTTCCAATATAAATTAATCTGATAATAAATTACTAAATTATTTAGTAATGTAATATAATACAAATAATTTACTCATTTCTCACATTCATTACTTTGGTATGATTTTACAAAATGAAGAAATTACAATAAATTTCACTATTAAACAACAGAAATTCTCATTTAAAATTTTAGTTATGAAAAAATCCATATTTATTCAGAAAGAAATTTTTCAAAAAACTTGTAAGTATCTACATTACATAATGGCATTTTATATTTAATATCCAAATTTTTCATAATTATTAAATATAAATAATTTACAAAGCCTTTGTAATTAAGGCATATAAAATATAAATTTGATATTATAGGTACATAGATATGTATATATGTATGTTTGGCATCATTTCTAAAACAATAAAAATTCTAAGAAATATGATTTAAGGATTTAAGATGGTAGATAGGTATTTACTATTACCTGACTAACTATATCCATTTTAAATTTATATGGATACAATTAATATTGGAATCGGTAAACAATATTTAATATCCAAAATGCATTCAATATTCCTTCTAACTACATAGTTAGAAATAGGTACATACTTATGGGAATGGCTATCTATCAAAGACATTTTTGTATTACATTATAATAGTTTATAGTACTATCAAATTGATTTTCCAATTAGAATTACATTATTATAGATGTCTACCTCTTTGTAAAAGTAGAGTGGATATTTACATATTTATAATTTAAATATTTTTTCAATTGTAAATAATTTAAATGTGGTTTGGAGTACAATATTTTATTTTACATAATCTTCAATATTTATAATCTTAAAACTTTGTTATTCATAATCAAATTCTAAAATTGAATATTCGATTATATTTGGAAAATACACCCTATCTATAACTAATTACGTATATTGTTAGTTGCCTACTCCTTTTTACCTAATTCATAATATGCTTTACAGTTTTATAATACGGATAAAATCCATTTCGCAATTATTATACAGATAATTATTTTAATATAATGGGCTTGTTAAGACACTATCTTGTATTGTAACAGTGAATGTATGCAAATTTATGGCATAACACACAATTGTTGGCAATATTATTCTCCCTATAATTTACATGTGAATTTTTTAAAATTTTTTCTATAATAAAATAAATTATAGTGCGAATTGTTTTTTAAATATTAAATTTAAAAAAATACTTATAATATAATTAATTAAATACATACATATATGTATATGTAGGTAGCCTAAAAATACTAAAATAAGTAACACAAAACAAATTTTTTTTTTTGTTGCAATTTCCTTAAGAAAAACTAAAAATAAATTTGAAAATTTTTTTTAAAGACTAAAATAATTTTTTTTTTTTGTACATACCTTTAATTTTGGCTTATTATTTCAGCTATAAAATCCATATTTTTTATCCAAATTAATATGATATAAAAAAAATATTGTTAAACATTTATAAAAATTAAATTTTTTTTTTTATTTTAATGTGCTTTTGATGTACGTAAAAATTAATTTGACGTATGATGACGTTCCCCTCTTTTGTTTCTTCTTCTTCGTTTCGAAAATTTCTCGTTTGTCCACACACAGATAAAAAAAAAAGATTTTTAAAGGGAAATTCAAAATTTTATTTTTATTAGAAAATTTTTTTCTTTATTTTAAATAACAAAATCGAATCCCAAGTAATTTCTTGGTTTTTCCAGTTTTTGTTTTTATTTTTTTAATTTTTTAAAATTTAATTTTTAATTTACTTAATTATTTTGTATAGTCAATAATTTTAAATTTCTCCAAAACAGAAAAACAAAAAAAAAAGAACGAGAGAAAGAGAAAAAAATGAATTTATAATGGCCGCAAAAATATCATTCAAAAAATTATTGTACACGTCTATATGTATGTTGAATGCATATACATATATATATATATATATATATATAATATTTTACACATATGTTTGTTATATTTGCATATGTATTTGCTGTTTATAGATTTTTTCTCATATAAAGTATTTTTTTTTTTTTTTGATTTTATAACGCAATTTTCAATTTTTACATTTAAAAATGAAAGAAACACTTGAAAATTGAATTGATTTTTTTTTTTATGAAATGATAAAAAAAATTTCATAAAAAACTAATTATTTTTTTTCTTAACAGTTGTATAGAATATTAAGTGCAATATATTCTTTTTTATTATTAATATTACAAAATTTTTTCTTAAATGAAATGGCAGAAAAGCAGTAGTTCATATCGACATACACATGTAGCCATGTATAATGCATGCATCCATATACAAATGTATGTAAAAAAAAAAAAAGAGAAACTTTTTTTTTTCTTATTTTTTTATACTTTTAAAAAACTTCCACTTTAAATTCTTGTTTATTTCAATTAATTTTTTTTTTTATAAATTTTATTTAGAAAAATTTTTCATTCTATTGGTATAAAAATTTAATTTTCATTTTATTACTTTAGTTTTGAATTTAGAAAAAAAAGTATATGTATGTATGTAATATAAGAGTATAAAGAAAAAAAATCAAAAAATAATCCACGTTGCGATTACCGAATTTTATCGTTATTGACCCAACAACTTTCGACGAATAAAAAAACAAAAAAATTTTAATTTAAAAAACAAAAAAAAAAAAGAGCAGAATATAAAAATAAGAAAAAAAAGGAAACAATATTTTGTTGTTCTTTTCTTTGACGTATAAAACAGAATGAAATAGATAAATATAATAATGTAAGAGAAAAAAAGAGAGAAATAGTAAATGAAAACAAAAAAAATTTCAAAAAAACGTTGTCAAAATTTTTATTATATTGACATTTTTATTTTTCAAAATGTCATGGATGAAATTTATAATTTTTAAAATCGAAAAATGGTTGACACATTCAAAGAGATTCTTTTATTTTTCGATAATTCTAAAAAAAGTTTTCGAAAAAAAAAATTGTGGAAAATATTAATGGAAACCTAATTTTATGCTAAGTAAATAAGAATGTAAAAATTGATTATTACGTTATCAACAATTAGAGAAATAAGGTGAAAATAGCCAATGAGCAATTTTCTGTGGTGAGATGCCAAAATTCATATAAAATACATTATGTACATATATATAAATGAGGAGAGTCAAGAATGAAGCGAAATTATTGACATAAATTGAGCCGAACGCGGTAAAATATTCTGTGATCTTATAAATAGCATATTTTATCGCATTTTTCTTTTTAATATCATCTGTTGAAATGTGTAACATTTGTGTGTAAAATATTGGGCAGTTGATTTTGACGTTCCGTTGTTATTCTACCTACGTTAATTAACTACGATTAACTACGTAATTCGTTCGTCATTTTCGTTCTCCGCTTATTTCTGCTTTTACATTTAAAATAAAATATTTACGATATTTCTGCTAATAATTAATATTCTCGAATATTCCTGAACTAAAAATCTGCATTATTATTGTTAAAATTTAGCGATATAAACTCGTTTGTTAAATATTATATTCTAAATCTTAAAGAATTTCTACTTTTCATTTTGGCTTATTCTTGTTTTTGATACTTCCCGAGTGAATTCGAATTATTATCGTTAAATTGTCTCTGTTTAATTTCCAATAAGAAGCGATGTAAAATATCAGCTTTGAAGTGGTCGCCATTTATGTGAGAATCAATGTCCCCGTATATGACTTGGTTTTGTTTGAAATTCTGACAGGTATGGTAAACAAAATATTGGTTTTTTTTTTTTTTGGTAACGGCAAACAAATTGGATTATGGTTGTACCCAGCGAGTATTTCCCCAATTTCAAATTTTATTCTGTGCTTCTTTAATGGTCTCTTAAAATTTTTTAATCGTGCAGGTTATAGATAGTGAAAAACATAAATAAGTAAGTAGGTCTAGATTTCAAAACAGTATTTGGTTTCGGAACATTTTTGTATTATATGGTCCGATTAAGTAATCAATTAAATAAATAAAATTTATCTAAATTCTACCTACTTATACAATATGTACATGTGTATGTATGTATCTATATAGCACTTGCTACGAATGCTTACGGGAAATACCCACTACAATTCAATTGCAATATTGCGTACAAAACTTTCTTTTAATCTTTTCGGAAATAAAATTCTCAAAAATTAATTTTTCTTTTGAATAAAGTATTTGATATTTATGTATTCTAATGCATGAAATTTACAATGACTCAGTATGTTTAAATAATAAGATAAGAATAATCGGAAAAGCTTTTTTTCTGTGTCACGTTGATGACTTGATGTATAAAAAATCAAAAATGCTGATAACATATTTGCTTTGGGTAATTTCTTAAGCAATAGAAATAATTGTTTTCGAATTTATTCTATCTCTTTACTGTTTTTTTTTTTTTATGTAAAATAAAGAAGCATTTATGTAGTTTTAAATTACAAGTTCACTTGTTTTTGTTTTAATATAAAATATATTTTTTACATAAATTTTACTTAGTAAATTTGTAACATTAAAAACTTAAATATAAATAAATATTAAATGTATATGTTATATGATCTTAAAAATATTCAAGAATTTGTGTGTAATATTGAATTATGAATTTAGATAATATTATTAAATAATCATTAACATAATAATGTTATTACATATATAAATAGATATGTATATAATTGATAAATATACGATATTTATATTAAACCTACATTATATATCTATGTAGAGATAAAAAAATATAAATTGAAACTTAAAATTATTTTGATTTATTATTCAAATAAATTTGAAATTTATTGAAATCATTTATAAAATTTAATTGCTGTCTTCTTCAGCTAATATTTTGGCTATTTCTTTTTCATCTGATACCTAAAAAATAAGATAAAAAGAATAATTTAATAAAATTACAGAAATAATTAATTGATCTAGACTTCAAAATTACAGTAACATTTGTAAACTGAATTGTGTAATACTATCGTCTTACAATAATTTTTGAAATCAGAAGTAGGTACGTGCCTACTAAACAATTTAATACAATATTTTTTTATAACAATAATTTTACCTTTTTTAGCAATAATTCCTTTAAATAATGAACATTGTTTTTTAAATTTTCGATATCACTTTCCAATTTTGTATTTTCATCTTTTAATTTTTTTACTCTTTCTTTGACTTCTCTTGCACGTTCATTAGTTTTTTCTCGACATTTTTTTACAGCCTACGGAAACAAAGAATAATTAATAAAAAACAAATATTTTTAATTCAAGTTTTTAATAATTAGTTTACAATTTAAAAATTTTAAAAGTAAATTCCCGAACATTTTCTTATTCAAATAAAATTCAATACACAATGCATCATAATAGCATGTAAACAAAAAATTTCTTAGAAAATTCATGAATCAGAATAAGAAACTTTTATTAATAATGAACTTTAATCCTATGGCTTAAAAACATTAAAACAAAAAAAAAACTTACCAAATTATTACGTTCTCTTTTTTTTTTATAATCCTCACTTGCAGAATCATCTGAATTTGATTTCTTTTTTGCAGGCATTTTAATTATTATTACTTTTTAAAATCAAAACAAAATATATTTATTTTTTTTTTTTTCAAACAAGTTTTCCCAATAAAATTTGTAAAACTTTAATAAGTTAACAACAGCAGTACTCCTTTATATGATCACCTCACTCAACAAAAGTTAAATAAATTGTGAAATTACGAGTTTGAGAATTTCGTAATTTATTTATATAAAAATCATTTGTAATGATTAATGACGTCACAATTAGAAACGTCAAGATAATTTCAAACTAAAGTGATTGTATGTATATGACGTAATTATTATTTTGAGAAACGGTAGCAACGTTTTTTATTTTTTAATGGAAAAATACAAAATAGTGTTAGGTCATTCCTTTATTATTTCTTACCGGTAAAATAATTTATGTAGTCTAAGCGTAATTCCCTTAAAAATAATATTTGTATGTAAATTCACACTTATTATTTTATTTTATTAATTTAACTAATTTTTTTTTAATTAAACTAATTTTACATTAACAAAAACATTCAGCAGGTTGATAAACTAAAACTCTAGATTTATCTTAAGTTAAAAAACCGACTTTTATTGGCAAAATGTCAGAATTCATATAGAATACACCTAATATTTCAATGGGACTGGCCAGAATCAAGAGGAATAACTTATAAAAATAGCTACGTTAAATTAAAAAATGTTTTATATTCAACCATTACTGGTTAAAAATGATGGAAAGTGTCACGAAAGATTTTCTCTCAAAAAATTTTTTTGACAGTTATATTTTTTATTATATTTAGGAGTTTGATCTTAAGGGAGTGTCAAACATTTGTCATATCAAAATTTGTTTTGATTTGTTTTGTTTTTATCTGAACTGCACGTGGACTGTGGACACTAGAATAGAGACCATAATTTAATACCGAAAATGTTATCAAATACAGAAAGTTCAAGTAAAAATAAAAAAATTATATTTGGAGATGACGGTGAAGTATTATCTGAGAAGCAAATCAAAGATAAAAAACGTAAATTCAATAAAATTTCTAATAATCCAAAAGATACTGAAAATGATATTGGTAAAAAATGGTATGAAGTTGTAAGTATAATTGCCATTAATCGAATTTTTTCGTTTTAATAAACAAAAATTTTACAATATCTAGTATCCAGAGTATAATATATGTGAAGAAGTAATAGAAATAAAGGATTCTGAACAGAAATCTTTAGAGGAATTGTGTAAAAATGCTTATGAAGAAGAATTACCACATTTACTTAAAAGTAATTAATTTTTTTTTCTTGTATATAAATTTAGAGATTTTATACCTATAATAATCTTTTAGATAACCCGCCTGATGCTCGATGGTTAGAAACAGCTTTACATAAAGGAACATCAAAAGATAGAAGTAATGCCGGGGCCCTTTTATTAACAACAAATCCGGTTGCAAATATTCCTATACTTGAAACAGTAATTGGATTTGCAAAATTATCTAATAAATGTAGTCCTGATGTGATTGTAATATTAACTGAATTATTTATGGAAGCTCTTATTCCATCAAATAGAAAATTAATTTCATTTCAATTACGGGGCGCTAGTTGGAAATTTTTGAAAAAACAAGAAAATATGAATAAGAGTATAAAAAATAAAATTTACGCGTATTGGCATTTTGAAAACAGATTAAAAGAATTATATTTCGGTATGTATGCAAGATTTATTTAGAGCACCTAATTAAAAAAAATAATTGGTTTTATTTATTTGTGATACTTTAGAGTATTTAAAAAATTTACAAAGTTGTCTACAATCTGGCCAAGAAAATAATAAAAATTCAGCTATTATCTCTGCTTCAAAGTTATTAGCATATGCCCCAGAAAAAGAACAAATGATTCTTTCAATGCTTGTAAATAAATTAGGGGATCCTTCAAGTAAAGTAGCGGCTAAAGCTTTACATCATTTAACAGAAGTTGGCCGTAAACATCCCAATATGTGTGGTGTTATAACTAGAGAAGCTGAAAAGTTATTATTTCGTAATAATATATCTGAAAAAGCTCAACATTTTACTTTATGTTTTATGGAACAAGTTTTACCGCCGGGACATTCTGATGTTAGTACTAAAATTGTTCATATTTGCTTTTCATTATTCAAAGTACTAGTTAAAAAAGGAGCTGTTAATAATAAGACGATGCAGGCAATACTTCGTTGCTTACAAAAATCAATAATTGATGCAAAACCAATTAAAGGTGAAGATCAAATTTTATCAAAGGAAATGCAAGATACAATTTATCGTTTAGTACATTTAGCTGATATAAAAATTTCCATTCAAACTTTAAGCTTACTTCTCGAAATGATTTCATTAAAGAGCGAAAAACCAGATCGATTTTACAACGCGTTGTATTTGAAATTAAGTGATTTGGATTTAATAAAAGTTGGAAATACAACAGCTGCGTTATTTTTGCAAATTGTCCATAAAAGTATGCACATAGATAGAAATATACCAAGAGTAAAAGCTTTTACAAAGCGTTTATTGCAAATTTCATTTTATTTACCAGCAAGTTTTGCATGTGGATGTTTGATTGTAATTAATAAAGTAATAAAAATTCGAAAGGATATTCAATGGGTATAAGAAACACAAAAATCTTTAGAAAGAATTATTTTTAATATTTTTGTTTATATATAGGAACAGATTGCTGAGGACTCTGGTACAGATAATAAACCAAAAGATTTATCTAGATTTGATGGCGATATAGATGAAAATTATAAAGACGTTGAAAATTCTGATGAAGAAAGAGATAAAGAATCGATCAAGAACAGAAGTCCAGGAGAATTTTCTTCATGGCATCATGTAAAAGTGGAATCTGAAACAAATAATAAAAGTCAGGAAATATCAAAATCTTGTTATGACGCGTTTCATAGAATTCCAGCTTATTGTGGTGCTGAATTTATTAAAAATTGGGCATTAATACAATTACAAGAACACTATCATCCCTCATTAAAACTTTTTGCCCAAAACATTATTGAACAGAAAAATATTTCATATTATGGTGATCCTTTAAGAGATTTTGGATTACCTTATTTCCTGGAGAGATTTTGTTTTAAAAACCCTAAAAAACATAATGAAAATGAAGCTGCTAATGAAGACGACATTTCAAAAAAATATCATAAACATTATACGCCATATGGTGGGCGTAGCTTAAGTGTTAAAAGTTTAACAAAACAAAACTGCACAGAAGATGAACTTTTCATATTTAATTACTTGGAAAAAAAACGTGAACTTCAAGATCAAAATGCGAAATACTATCAGAAAACTGATGTAGGAGATGTTGATGATGATGAATTTGAGGAATATCTTGACGGTCTTGTAAAGCAAACTAAAAAAAATGTAGATAATGTTGAGGATGATGAAGACTTTGAAGTTGATTATATGAAAGAATTAGGTGAAAATTTGACGACCACTGAAAAAACTAAAAAATCTAAAAAATCAAAAAAACTTGACGAATCAGATGATGAGCTCATGGATGATTGGGGAGATGATGAAGATATTTCAGATAATTTTGATTCTGACAATGAAATGGAAAACGGACAAGATGATATAGGCAGCGGAAGTGATGAATATCATTCTGATGATAATGATATTGATATAGAATCAGATGATGAGGAAGGTGATACTGATATAGAATCAGATGAGGAGGCAGGTGATACTGATATAGAATCAGATGATGAAGATTTTCAACCTAAAAAAAAGAAAACTAAATTTGATGTAGGATTCAAAGATTTTAAAGCGGCACTAAAAGAAAAGACAGGTAAATTATACAGAAAAAAAAAAAATTTTTTTATTAAAAACGTGAATATATATTCTTGTATTTAATTTGTAGACATGAAATCGCTTTTTGCTGCTGTAGATGATTTCGCTGATATTTTAGATGAAGCTGGCAAAACTAAAGACCATGGAACAAGTAAACAAATTTTAAATAAAGATAAAGCTTCTGATAAACAATTGAAATGGGAAGAAAAACGAAGATCTAATTATAAGGGCAGTAAAAATTGGAAAAAAGTTAAATCAAATAAAAATAACAATAATAAAAATTTTAAAAAGAAAAATGTTTATAAAGGTAAAATGAAAAAGGGATTGAAAAGAAACTAATAATTGAATAATATTATGTAATATTATAAAAATTATGACTAATAAATAAATTAATTTTATTAATTTTATAATTATTATTTTATTTAATTTTATCTTTTTTAAACACTATAAATTTAATAGTTACCAGTCCCTTATATACAAGAAATGACGTAATTTTGCTTGAGAACTTACACATATGTTCTCAAGTTTATTACATGCTTAAATTCTGAATTTTGCAATTTCAAATATGCATGAGAAGGGTTGCTAAACAACAAAAAAATAACGATTGCAAAAATTATGTAAATTTTTGCAGAGATAACGAAAATTTGATAATGGAAAAAAAATCAAAACATTATAAAATCAAAAATCCCATAGGAAAAGTACAAACATTATGGTATAAATATATTTTAGCTCGAAAAATTGCACCAACTGTTAAAATGGAAAAACCAAAAAGATCACCGAAACATTTATAGTGAGCCAAATTTTATAAAATATAATAAACAAAGTTGTTTTATATAAAAATAATTTTAATTCTAGTGCTCAATTATGTTATTTTCGTTATAAAACATCAATGAATATTCATGATGAACAATTTGTAAAAGAAATTATTCGAATTGAAGAAAATCAACCTAGTGGTTGGGATGCTATGAGAATGAGAAGGTTTGTTCATACTCATATTCTTTAAAAACAAAAAAACTTTTATATATTTTTTTATAAATAATAAAGATTATTTTCTGTAACAATGCTGTGGCCACCGATGCATTCTAAAAGAGAAATACAAAAAACATTTAAAAATCCGGAAATGATTAATAGGACAAAAGAACAAAGATGTTTAGAAAATCTACTAAATCCTTAATTAAACCTAGAAAATATATAATAGATAATATGTAGAGCAAAATAAAATATTGTTAAATAATAAATACAAGTTTTTTTTTTCAATTTAAACATGAATTCCATAGTAAGTGAAAATCAATATAAAAAGTAGTATTTATTCAAATTAAAAATTATGAAATTTTCTTCCGGAATGATGAATAGCTGCTTAAGTTTATTTGCGAAATGCAATTTCTTAAAACTAAACATCAAATATATACGTTTAAATTTCTTAGTATCGTCGTTCCGATTCAAATACCGGAATATGAAATAATACAATAGTTTTCTTTTGTTATGATATAAATATAAATAAACATAAATTAAATTCTAAAAATCATCAGTACCAATATGTTTTGTACAAAACATAAAAAAACACAAACATATATGGTATGAAAAACATAAAAATCTTTTCAAAACAACAAATTTAAATTAAAAATTAATAATGTATGTATGTAATTCATTTATGAAACAAAATTAAATTTGTATTCAGTTAGAAAATAACAATTTAAATAAATTTTATTTTTGAAGTATATGAAGAAGGATTACTTAAATTTTCATTTGATTCTAAATCATCTTTACTTGAACAAATTATCTGATTACATATTGCTTTATTTCTCAAATTAATATCATTACTTAATAAGATATAATTGAGATTATAAGATTTTAATTGTAAACAGCAATTAATTATGTGATCATCAGGATTTTCAATATCAATATCAAGAATTTTTCTTGATTCATTAGCACTTTGTCCAATAAAATGTGGATTTTTTATTGAAAGATTTTCATTTAAGTATTTTATGGCACGAGCTGCGCGAACACATATTGAACGTTCCGTTTGCATTTTTAATTTATCTAATTCTTGTAATACTATATATGGTATATATAGAATTGAACCTTTTGTATCTAAAAGAGAAAGGCCATGTTTAAAATATTAAAATCTTTAGTATATGTAAACTTACCACATAATTTTGATTTGATTAAATCAGATAAAAATGTTAAATTATCTAGAAAAACATTTGTATCGGGTACAATATATAAATAATCCTTTTTAAAATTACTGAATTGATTATTTTGATGTCTAACTAAATTTATTAAATTATTATTTACAATGTCATGTTTTTCTAAAATTTTATCTGAATCATTTGAATTAGAGTCGTCTTTAAATGGCCCAATGTTTGGATTAATCTGAAATTTACAATAAAATTAAAATGCTATATTTTTTTTTTAGATTTAAAAGTATTTTTTACATTCGTTTGTATATTCATTTTATATTCTGAAGTTTTCTCTTCTATTTCATTTGAAGTCTGACTGTTATTGATTTGTTCTCTTAAACGTTGCAATCTTTCGTTTGCTGAAAATTTTTTTCCAGGTACTGGCGTTAACGGGGTTTTGATTATATTACTCTTAGATGATTTAACTACTGTTGAACTTGTGGAACAGTCCGAATAAATATTTTTATAATTAAAAAGTTGTACATTAGGGTGAGATATGTTTTTATTTGTTTTAGTCTCATTATTTAATTTTAGTTTTTTATTACTAGTTTCAATTGTTCTTGATTCCTCATAATTTTTTCTTTTCTGTATTCCTTGTTTTTTGTTATTTGTTGAGTAATCATAATCAAATATATCAAGTCCACGTCCAATTTCTGAAGATGTTGTTCCTTTCTTTAGAGATTCTTGGTTTTCGATACAATTGAATAGTACTTTAGTTTCGTTTTCAGAAATTTTTTTATAACTATCTAATTTTTGAGTTTTCTTTGGCGTATCTGAGGACGAAGATATACAGCTTTCTGCAATTTTTTTGCTTACTTTCCCTTTAGAATCATTTTTCTCACTATTAATTGCATATACATTTTTGTCTGTATCCAACGCATTTTTAACAGTTTTCCATACAGACTTAATTTTATTCAATATTGAAGGCTCTTTAGAATCGACTTTAGTTTGGGTTGGGTTTTCTGAATTAACATTTTGATCAGGGATTAAGTTCTTCGAAATAAGAAAATTATGTGAAGGTTCATTTCCTTTGTCAAATTTATTATTTTTATCTGAAGAACAGGTTTCAGTTTTCCTCTGAAAAAATTCAAGTCTGTTTTGGAGTGAAGTTTTAATTCGCCCTAGAAATGAAAGTGTTTTGAAATAAATCGTTAAATGTACGTACAATATTAAAAATGATCCAGTAGAGTAACAACTTACATAAAACTTCAAATATGCATGAAAATAATTTAAAGCTATTATAATATTAGTGTTACATACGAACTGATAAATTTTATTATTATATTAAATTTAGATAAATTTTATGCTATTATGACATAAAAATTTGTAAATATATATGTATAATGGAGGTACTTATGTATTTAAATGTACAAACCTGAGACTTGATTCTTTAATTTCTTAGGCACTGTTTTCTGCTCAAAAGAAGAGTGATTAAATTTTGTTTGAGGATCTTTCTTGGACTCGATTATTTCATTTTTGTCAACAACGTTGCCACAGGCAATAATGTCATCTACATTAGCTTTTAAAAACACAAAATTCAGTTTCGAATCATAATTTTTGTAATTGTATATAAATTATTTACTTACTTTTTTCGTTCCCTTCTATTAGATTATCGCGTTTATTTTCTGTAAACTTTTCAATTGTTTTATCACATAATTGAGAATTTTTTATATCTGATTGTAGCCGCTTTTGCAATGCTTTTAATCTATCTTGAGCCGGAGTCTTCGAAATCAATTCTGTAAATTGTAAAATATGTAAAGATTTTTATATATAAAATTAATAAAAATGTAGATTTTGATATTACTGGACTTGCAATTTATGCCCAACAATTTTTGAGATCTTTCCATTTTTATATTTTATTATTGAATATTTAGTATGTTTCCATTTTTATTTTTTACATTTCAAATTAAATTGAAGCGACAATAAAAAATTGTTTTGATTATCTGTAATTTCTGTATTAAATGTTACTGTCATACAGATTGTTTTTAGCGACATCTATTTAATTATTAAATTACGACAGAATTCAATCACAAACTTCAATAGCCCGAAAACAATTATCAACGAATAAGATATATACAAACATAATGATGCCATCCCTATTCTGTTGGTAAGTAAAAGCTGTTACATAAGCTCGACTCTTCACTTCAAAATTATAATTTCTCAGGTGGTGGGATCACCTGGATCACCTGAAACTAAATTTTTTAAAAAATGAATAAATGGAACAATGTTGCAAATGAAAATTGTCCGTATTTAATGTAAATGCAATGAAATGTTGATTGTAGGTACATATAAAATATTACACTACTTGATCTACACAACTACATATATTATATACAAAATTTTACAAAATTTTTTTTAATGTACATATTATAACGAATAACGAAAAACTTTGTTATGCCAAATTATGTATGCAAATACGTTATTATTATTAACCTTAACAATCATTATTAATTATAAAAAAATAAATATTTTTTCCAAAAATTTTTCATTCAAAACAAATAAACTAAATAAATTTACACCATTCCAAATACTTAATCATATAATATTTTTATGAGTTATCTATTACGAAATGTAATTTTTACTTTCAGATACATAGGTACACATCTTCATTAAATTCCTTGTCTAGTTCTTCAGCTGAAAAATAATCTTCATTAGGTGAATCGATAATTTCAAACCAAATTTTTATGTCCTTTTCTTCACCTTATAAAAAAAATACTTTATTTATGTAAATTTTAACATTTTATTATTGAAAATCTTATCTGATATCTAAGCAATTATAATTTGGACAATCCCCGATTTTAATAAAGCATTAAAACAAAAAATTTTTACTACGAGTTATTTTGTTGTTGACACTTTCAAAAAATTTTCATTTACGAAGTAATTTATAGGTGGCTCTGAATACGTTAAAAATATTTTTATAATAATTTCTGAACGCACATTTTTCGGCTGTCACATCATACATATGGTTGGCATAGCATTTCAAATAATACATTTGACAAATCAATTATCGGTTGGTTCTTAGCTTTTAACACAAAAAAAAATTCTAGATCTGGATCTCTTGCTTTTTAATTAAAAAGAATTACAAATTTTATTTGATTTGATTTCGGAAATATTTTTTATTGTCGGTAGAAACTTTGGGAAAAGCTATGTCTGCATTTACGGAGCAGGCTTTGCTTAAAAAACTTTTTGAATTAAATTCTAGCCAGCAAAGTATACAAACACTGTCCTTATGGCTGATACACCATAGAAAGCATCATGTTGGTATTGTTAAAACGTGGTTCAAAGAATTACAGAAAGGTAATTTTTTATATTAAGTACAAAATTCTTAAAAAAAAAATGTTAAATTTGTTATGGTTTTAGTGCCGGAACAAAAGAAGTTAACATACATGTATTTGGCAAATGATGTAATACAAAATAGCAAGAAAAAAGGACCAGAATATGGCAAAGAATTTGAATTGATTTTAAATAAAGTATTCTGTCATATATGTGATACATGTGAAGAAGAAAAACTTTATATGAATTTATACCGCATTTTACAAATATGGGAAGATCGAGGGGTCTACGATAAAAAAACAATTAATGAGTTCAGAAATAGTTTAACTAAAGGTAGCGGTAAAGATGAGAATGATAAGAAGGTAGAAGTAAAAGCTCCAGAAAAGAGAAAAATTGAAACGACTAAAACAGATCCGATTGTAGAAAAAAAACATAGATCATCCAAAAGCACAAATGAAGATAAGACTAAAACCGTAGATTTGCAAAATAATATAGAAGCTGTTAGCCCACAAACTCCAATTGGTGAACCGCCAGAACCAGAAGAGCTTGTGAAAGCTCTTACAGATCTAGAAAATTCTGCGTCCAGTGATGCTGCTGTGAGAGAAAGAATTGCCAATTTACCAGCAGAAATATCTGAACTTCATACAATTAGTAAATTAGAAGATAAAGAAGCAGCTGCAAAATTATCAAAAGAGGTAATTTAAATTTGTTTAAATTTGAAAAATTAAAAAAGAAACCTCATGTAATCATATTTTCAGATCAATGAAGCAGTACAACTTTTAAATGAATATAATGCAAGGTTAGCCATGGAAATGGAAGACCGAAAAAAACTAGCAGTTATGTTACGAAACTTCCAAGCAGAGCAAAAAGAATTATTAGAACAAGCTGAACAGCGTTTAGAGGTAAAGGAATAATTTTTTTTATATTTAGATTTTTCATTAACGTTTATAATTTCTTTTAGGAATATACTAAAAAGCTGGCTAAATATAAAGACATTCAAAAAGAAATTAAAGACCATTTATCGAATTTACCAGATCTAAGACAGTTACCAGATGTTAGTGGTGGATTTTTAGCACCTTTACCATCAGCTGGTGATTTGTTTAATATTCATTGAAGTAAAAAATATAATATTAAAATTAAATTATATTACATAAAATATTATTATTAGTGGAGTACTTTCATAGATCTTAAAGCAATTATGCAAAAAAGGAAAAAATAAAAAAAACGAAAACAAAAATTCAAATTTCATAAATTTTTGTGCACGTTAATTGTAACTTTTTTCTAATCCAAGTTATATTAATTTTAAAAACTAATAATTATACAATTAATATAATTTTTGATTAAATTAACCATGATATTGATTACTTTTCCTTAATTTTGATTGAGTATGAAGTAATTTGTTTTTGACAAAATCTTGTACGAATAATGTTATTTTCGCAACTATTCATATTATTATGAATTATGATTAATATAGTCGTTTAAGAAAATGATTGATATTGGTAAAAATGTTAAATAAAGTTTATTAAAAACTTTCCAAATTTTAAAAATTTCTTTAATTTATTTTTCTCTAACTACAAAGCACCGTCATTTATGTGTTTATTAGAAAATTGGCCGATCCGCACCATTTTTCTATGAATTCTATAACATCTGGAATATTGCTTGTTGGGTTCATTTTTGCTGCTACAGTTAATTTACTCCATGCGTCACGGTTCGCTTGTTTTTTGGATTTTTGAAACAATATTGGTTGCCTGCCTGTCACAGGATAGCCAGTAACAATACATTCAAGGTCAGATAAACCTAAACTTGATTCAAATAAATTTCGTCCGTCGGTAGGTAAGTTTTGATCGACACGTTGATCCATACTAACAGCCAATATCCATTCTCGAGCTTCTTCATGTAAATTGGTTTCATTTCTTAGGTGCAAATTTTCTGGTATTGGAACAGAACTGGGAAAATCTGTAGTTGCCAAGTCAGAATGGTCAACCAAGTTTCCTGAACCATCTTCAATTGCTTCACACACATCTAAATAATGATTTAAAATAACAAATGCTTCAGGTTCCCGGCCTACAGAACGTAAATCCATTCCGGCTTCATAAAAACCTTTATCGACCGGTATTATACCAGTATAACGAAGTAAAGCTGCAGATATTTTAACAGCAATTTGCTGTAAAGCTTGAATTTGCCGGCATGCTGCCCTGGTCGTATAATAATGGGCTATGAGCAATAATTTATCAAAACGATCATACACTTCTGTTTCGCCAAATTCTGAGGCTTTTAGAGTCTAAAATTGATAAATTAATGTGCAAGCTTATTTTTTTTTAATATGGGATTTTTAATACTCAAATTTACCGTTGTCAATTGGTACAGAAATGTCCTTAAGTCTTTCCAATAATCAACAATTTCTGCTTCACGTAAAGAAAAACATTCCAAAGCTATTCTGTAATAAATATTGAAATTTTGCTCTATTGCTGGAGCTCCATTTGTTATGTATAAGGAAAGTGCAGTAAGTGCTTCTCCGTCACGAATTAGTTGAGCAGCATATAAAGCCAAATATTTATGAAGAGCCTTACCGTTAAGTTGTCTTGCTTTTTCTAAGCACCTAACCCATTGACCTTGTTCAGCAAGCATATCAAGCGCACTAACTATATCTGAAAAAGAAGTTTTAAATTTAAATTTTAAATTATGAATAACTAAATTTAACCTATATCAGCAAGCTGTTCGATATTTCCTTCATTTTTTAATCTTGATTTTTGTTGCTGTTCTACGTAAGTAACTAACTCAGAATCTATTTCTTTTGCCAATCGACGTGCTTTTGCCCACTGTTCTGCTTGTATAAAGACTTCAACTGCTTCTTTTGGCAAATCAGCAGCTAAATATAGCTGTGCAGCTGGTCCAATTTGATTAATTTCTAAAAGCCTTGGTCCAAGTTGTTTTGATACGTCTAACGCATCTTTTCCTTCCAAAAATTGATTGCATATTTCTGCAGCTCTTATTAAGGCTCTTTCAATAGTACCATCATCAGCATTAGTTGAATCAATTTGTAATAAACATTCCGCAGCCTTACGGAACTCTTCATTTCTAGCAAAATCTGAAGCTTGCTGTAAATATGACCTTGAATCTGCATTTGCTGATCCTAAATTTGTATTACGTCTACGTTCTTGTGTTTGTATTTTCCTCAGATCATTCAAAGCAACAGGATGATGCTCTTCAGCTATTCTAACTGCATCTTCAATCATATTTAGTTCTTTATATTGCTGTATAATAATATCAGGTCGACCAGCTTGTAGTAATAAATTTTCATAATCAGGATAATTTCTTGTTTCTAAAGCGGCTGTAGCTTGCCCCAGTAAAATTTCATTTATCGCATCAGGTAAATATTTTTCGGCAACCCTTAAAGCAGATTGCCAATCTCCACCATGAGTATGCATTAATATAGCCTCTTTTGGTTTATTTGCTTTTATAAATTCAATTTCAGCTTGATCAAATTTTCCCTCATCTTCCAAAGACATTGCAATTTTGTAGTGTACATCTTCTGTAGGTTTTCCTGTTAATCGACATAAGTCAATTGCGAAATCAAATTGACCTGAGTCGCAAGCAAAATTTAGCGCTGTATCAATTAGGCCCAATCTAGTTAATAATCTTGCCGCTCCTTCAATTGGCAAAGATTTGGCCCACATATATGCTACCTGATTACTAGCTCCATCTGTACCTTTTTGTTTTGCAATACGATAACCGTCATCCCAACGACCTGCATTGCAGTACATGTGAACAGCCGATTTCCAGTCTCCAGCAGCAATAAAATGAATTTCTGCATTTTTTAGTTTACCTTTAGCTTCCAATTGTTTAGCTAGATGTAAATGTGTACTTTCTAAGAGTTCTTTGTGATATTTTTCAACCAAGCGTATCATTGAGTCATATAATTCACGACGTTTGTACATCGCAATCGCTAAGTCAGGTTCATTTATAGCTATTAAAACTTTCTCAGCATCACGGTATTTGCCTAAAACAAAACAAGTTTTATTAGAAACTTGATAGATAAAAAAAACGTTTTTATAATTCAACCTTGATCTTCAAATGTTCTTGACAAGTTAATAAATATATCCCTTGTTATTTCACTACTCATGTATGTTTCTGCAATATTATAGGCTTTTTCCCATTGTCCATGTTTATTAAGTAAATCTATTGCTTCTTTAAACATATTTGCCCGTACTAATAAATCTTCGGCTCCATCTAAGTCACCCGCAAATGCTAAATGTTTAGATAAATCTAGAGCATGTTTTTTAATTTCCTCTGGCTCATCCAGAACTTTTGCAATTTGTACAGCTTTACGCCATTGTTTTGCACCTACAGCTGCTTCTAAAGCTTTTTCTGTTGCACCGGCTTCTATATAATGATTTATAGATGCATCTAATTGTTTTTTTGATACTAACCAGTCACCCCATTCTTCTTCTAAAGCTATTACATCATCTGGTGCAACCTGCCTTGCTAATTCAACAGCTCTGGGATAAGCTGCACCTTTGCGATAAAGTGTTAAGGCAGCTTCTGGACGGGATAATTTTAAAGCAATATCTCCAGCAAGTTCAAAAAGTTCTGTTTTTTGTTTAAAAAAAACAATTACTGTAATTTATTAAAACAAATTTATGCGATTTTCATAAAAATATACAAACCAGATTTCAATAAAGCTTCAGTTATTTGGGCCACTAAATCTTCATTTTCCATTAGGGCAGGAGTTTTTAATAACAAACGAGCAGCTTTCGGTGCTTTTCTTGCTTTTAAATACAATTGTATTGCTTTCTCTGCATCACCACGTTCTTCCCAAACTTTTCCAGCTTTTTCTTCTTGATTTGTCATTAACAAAAATTTCATTTGATCTTCCCGAAGTTTACTTATTCCAGAATATCCTCTTTTTTCTGCTAAATTAATTGCATCGTCCCACATTCTTAAATTTTTATACATATTTAAAGCTTTTTCAATATCCCCTTGTTCTAAATAAATTCTTTCAGCAGTTCTTAAATCTGAATTTAATAATGCCATCTTTGCTTGAACTTCTGGGCATGTTGCATTTATTCCATTTATTTCTTTATACTTTTCATCGGCCATAATCATTTCATTTAAATAGAATGCTTTCGATACATTTCCAAGAGCAGCATAACATCGTTGTGCAACTCTTAAATTTTCTTGTTCTAATGCTATAATTGCTAAATTTAACCACATAGCTTTTGCTGCTGGTTTATCACCTAATGTCTCCAAAAATAATATAGCTCGTCCAAAATCACTATCATTTAATGCAGTTCCAAATTCAACTAATCCTTCATCTAATTGATATGAATGATCTGTTGGTCCCTCTTGTGTTTTAACAATAGTTCGAGAATCATCTCTAATAACATCAAAAGCATCACCCCGTATTGGCATTAAAGTAACATGCTCTGGTAAATCTATATTATACCATATTGCTAGATTATTATCACTTTGGGCGACAGCAACATCGGATTGAATGACCCATTGAACAAATGAAACATTTCCTAAAAGAGTTTGTTTTTTACCAGTAGAAATATCAACTAAAACTAGCCTAAAAGTTGAATAATAAAATGATGAAATGTGAACACAAAATTTATCTATAACGGTAAATATTAAGTTTAGTTAAGAATATTATGCTAACCTCATCTTTTTGTCCCGAAAAAGAAGTTTATGAGCTGTTTCGTTCAATTCAATCCAATCGATTTTAGAATCATGTCCAACTTGTGTTATTATAGAATTTGTTATTAAATCTAATACACAAATAGTTTTCATGTCCAATAGGTATGCTAATTTCTTATTATCCCTAAAATATCATAAAGATTGATTACGGAATTTTTTTAACATTAAGTCAATTAAAATTTTCTTCTTACACTCCAGAATTATTTCCACGTTCATTTAATCTTATAGAGATAACATGTGGATTAACAAATTCTGTTCTTACTGATCCCAATATTATATTTTCACCGTACTCAACTAAAGATAATTCACCGGCATTAAAAATTAAACAAACATTTGGATTTTCAAAATAAAATTTTTCTAAAGATCCTGTTGTATTCCATGGTATTTCACTTGTTAAATTTCTTGTTAAATCACATAATAATAATGAATCTTCTGTTTTAGCTACCAAATAATTATCTTTTCCCATAATACGTATATCATCGATTTCTAAACCTAAATGTGATTCAATTGTCATTTGTTCGAATGGTTCATGTAATGTTTTAACTAAAACTTGACTTGGAGCTACATAAATTATTTCAAATTTTTCTTGCCATATTGTACGCTTTAATACCGATTCAAAAATTATTACTGCACCAGATGTCGAACCAATAGCTAATCTAAAATTTATTAATATTAAAAGAAAAAATGGTTTTATTGAAATTTGCATGCAAAATTTCATATTTTATGAAATGTACTTGGCACCATCTTTTCTCCATGTTAATGCTGTTATTGAATATAAATGTTCAATTTCTTTTGAAGCACTTTCACTCCATGATGATAATCTTGGACTCCATGAAAATATTCGTATTCTATCAAAACTACCAAATGCTACAGCTTGACCATTTGAACTAGATGTTGCTACTAAAAATTCTTTTTCACTATCATTTCGTGAAAAATCAAAATTTCGAATTTGTCGGCCCTAGAAAATAAGAAATATGTATGTATATGTATTTTATTAAGTAAATTTAAAAACATACTTGTGAATCATAAAAAACAATTTTTTTATCACAGCCAGCAGCAGCAATGCCACCTTGAGGCCATGCTAAAGCAAATGGTGGTACAGAATGTTGAAAAAGTTTACCAGATGATTCAATTCCAGCACTATGACGTGGATTACTATTGTCATCTAATAAAAAAAATCTTATAACTGTTCCGTCAAAATGCCCAGATAAAAAACCAGTTCCTTTTGTATTTGGTGCCAATGAAATAACCATATTTTCACTGCTATATAAACTTTGAGATTTATTGGTCTTACAGTTTAATGAGCGTACTTTACCATCATCTAAACCTAATTCGTTTTGATTTTTTAAAAGAGGCGTAAATTATTCAATTTTTTATATTTTTTATATTTCTTTAATAATTACCTGCAATTATTGTACCCGTATTTAACCAGATCATACATGTTACTGATGTTGATTGCGGAAATTTATTACAAATAACTTTTTTTTCATTCCATCCTTCACCCAATCTGTAAACGTATACAATACAATCACTTTGTGCTACTGCTAATTTTGTTGAATCCGAATTAAATGCTATACCACGTATAACATATGAATTTTTACCATTATTTGGATTACTTGGTTTTGTTGAGAATTTATCACGTTTTTCACCATATTCATCAAATATATATATATGACGATCTGCTGTAGCTATTGCTAATTTTTGATGATTTGGTGACCATGCTATACCAGCAATTCGATTTATATAAGTCTTAAATGTGCAAAATTTTTTTTTTAAATAAGAAAACTTTTAATATTTATATGCCATCTATATTAAATTTTTATTATTAATTAATTAAATTACCTGCCCATCAATTAGAGTTTTTAAATATTTTAATTGCATAATGTTAAAACATTAATCTTTCAAATTATTTAAATAATAATTGTAATTTCATTAAAAGAAATACTTGGTTTAAATTTGTATTTCTGAGAATAATTTTTGTATTAATAATTTGTTTGGCTTTATTACCGCTGCTATAGTTACACTACGGTTACAAATGTGTACATATGTATATGTACAATACTTCGATATACTTGCAAACTTGGGAATAACAAAAATCATGTATTTAAATGGAATTTCAAATTATTGAATGAAATTTTAGGTAATGATGCATATTTTATGAAATTTACAGGGTTACATATATAAATTAATTTTAATATATAGAGTATTTTCATTTCATAAAATTCCGTATACCTGCCCCTAATCCTTACCAATAAATTATTCAAATTTAGAAAAATTCAAAGCATTCCAAAAAAAAAACTTCTCGGAGCTTTCAAATATTTGAAGTAGTTTTCATAAAATCTCGGTACATTAAAAAAAATAACCATTTCTATTTCAAATAAAATCTAAGTGTGTGATCGTTTATTTTGCAATTTTACTCGCCAGATGGAAGATGAATGATAATGTCATATATTTATTGAGTGAGATGATTTGAGAAAAAATATAAAAATCTAATTAAAAAAGATGTGTTTTTTTTTTTTAATAAATTACCCAATTGAAAATTTTATTAGAAAAATAAATTATAAAAATAATAAACAATCCATTAGAAAAGAAAGAAAATTCTGATTTAAAATTGAATAAAAAGTGTGATGAAAAACGAGATACACGATAAGGCTGTAAGCTTTATTATAAACACGAAAATTTTCAACATAATCCAATTGGACATCCTATTAATTTGGTAATTTATTTAATAACAAATATTTTGTTTTAGATTGGCTTTTAATATTTGTCCACTTAAATACATTTAGTTTGTGATTTGTTTTAAATTAATGATTCTAAATTCGTCCCTTGGGGCACCCTATATGGGTATACATATTTGATTTCGATTTCTGTAGCCTTATTCGATTAGTTATTTTTCTTTCGAAGAAAAAAAAATCTCTTTAGCAACCATAAAAAGTCATAACGAATATGACACACATTTAATGTTTACACAATGTTTTGTTTTATTTGGGATTTATAATATTAATTGTAAGTCTCGTATAAGTATGCTAAATTGGTAATCGTATAAAGGCTCGCATGAATACATTTCTATAGTATATGGAATATTATATGAATGACTTTAATTTTGGGTTAAATAACTACAAATTCATGGGTTAAATAAAATCCAATAATAATAAATACACTGTTTATAACCATTAAATTCCGCATATACATACATATGTATGTGCATTCGTGAAACCAGAAAATATTAAATATAGTCTAATTTAAATATATATGTATGTATATAAATTTTTTATGAATGAATTTTATTATGTTATAAAGAAAATTTATATACATATTTATGTATTCATGTAAGTACATATACTTATATGTATATTAATTACATAAGCGGTATACCAATAGTGTTATTATGTTCTCATAATAACAATATTTTAATGAGAAACCCGCTAAAACTTCATATACTAATCTGCATTTAATAAATGCTGTGTTTTAAATAAAGCATGTACTTTGAAGACAGACATAAGTGTATGTATGTACTCGTATTTTCTAATCTATATTTTTTTTAATAAATTATAGAAAATTTTTTACATTATTCATTCGAATGATGGATTTTTTAAAATTCATTTAATTGTAATGCTTTTAGTAGCCAATACAATTTTATATTTTAAAAATTTAGAGTTTTATTTAATTTTTATATGCTTCAACTCCAAATCTATGATATATCTTTGGCATATGCAAAATCCATATGGATCATAAATAACTGCAAAATGAATAAAATTTCTGCAATAATTTTTCTATTCTCGAGAGTTTTCATTTGAAGTAATAATAATTTATTTCCGTATGGTGGGAGAATAATAGGATTTTTCTATATAGAAAGTTCCGACGACCGTAACTTAAGAAGGTTTTTTGAACCGTATCCAATCTATCTATATGATTAAGGTAGAAATGAGACCAGACCTATGACTAGAATACTTAAGATGTGGCTGAACCAAAGCAAAAAACAAGATTTCTTAAGAATAACATTTTTTTTTTAACATAATTTGGCCGAGAATTTGCTAAATAACAATAAAAAAAAATAATTGAAAAAGAATATTTAATAATGTTATAAATTTTATATTTATTATCAAAAGGACAGTAAATATTTAAGTACCAATAATACAATCGGTTTTATGGAAAATATAAACAAAAAGAATAAATTGCATAAATAAGAAATTGTTAAAAATGAAACAAATTACAAATAAAAAAAAAATATAATCATAAAATTAAAAAGGACCTGTTGATTTTACTTATGTATACAACTAATAAATAATATTCAGAAATTGTCAATATTATGTTACCAAAAACAAAGAAAAGAAACAACAAAATTTGATTATGTTTGTTGTCATATTAATGTTATGTTATTTTAGTTATGATTATGCATATACCGTATACGATATTTATGTATTTATACGATAAGGTTCCAAATTTAATAAAGAGATAAACAGTTATTGTATTTTGAGTACTTCTATATGCACGAAGATTATCGCTTTAATTTAAACGATTGATTCTTGAATTGCAATATTGGAAGCAGTTTTGTTCGGTGTAGATTTGTAAATCTGTGCGTATTTTGACTGGCTATTCTGTATAAAAGTTGAAAATTTGGGATGTATGTGTGTATGTAGATTCTTACTATACAATAAAATTTAATATTATAACTTTAACAATCATTGAATTAAAACTTATCATAAATAGAATAAAAAAAGAGAAAATAATATTGAAAAGGCTCAGAGTAACAAAAAAAAAACAAAAAAAAAAATTTTTGTTTCCAAATGCTGTTATCTTTTAAAATGCGCATGTTCATCACCTGTTGCTAGGATAGAACACATTTCAGGAAAAATAAAAGGGGTTTAAAATAAGAAAAACAAAAAAATTTGAGAGTAAAATTTTACATTTTTTTTTCTTTACAAAATTTTTATTTTGACTGTTATAATACTGTTTACATATAGGAGTATTGATAATAGTAAATAGTAAAATTTTATTATTTGTTATAAGCATTATACTTACTTACATACATAAATGTTAAGAGGTTATTGAATGCTAAAAAGAACAACTTGTTTGATTAATATAACAAAAAAATATAGGGCATATTATGTTTACACATACATATGTACATAAGTAATTCTCAAATGTAAATCGCATAGTTTTTTTTAGTGAAGTTGAAATTTATTTAGTTGTGAAGGCCTCATAGAAAGCTCAAATTCAGGCCTTCAGAAAGTTATTCGAGCATTTCCAACTATTGTTGATGCTTCTCGTTGAAGTCGAAATAATTTCGTCGAAAACGTGTCTATCAGTGGCTATAACCGAAAACGTCATAATTTACAGATGGAAGGGAAAGGGTGAATAAAGTGTCACATAAACTAAGAATAAACTAAAAAAAAATCTATCGTAGCGTCTGCTGAATACAAGGTAATTTCAGGCAACATACACGTCATTGATTCATGCATCCCATAGCCGTACTATATAAAGTCGAATATTCAAAAGTTCGAAAAAAATCGACTCAATAATATTGGACCAACTACGTTATTCACAATAAATTTATGAATAAAACCTATATCAGTAATCACTTTACGATTATGAAGCGACCTTAACTGACGGTTATTTCCAATAACTGAACGCTATTTTCATAAGGAGGCAGTCTAAAGTCAGGAGGTAAGGAGAATATGATCAATTCATACCGTGAAGAATACAATTCGGTCTATATTAATATTATGAAAAGGAGACCACATCTGACTAACGTACACTAAAACGGGCTTCATGAAGGAAGCATAAGAAAAGAGGGGTCATTAAATTCTCTAGCATACCTCATGACACAATCTAAGGGCATAATTCGCCCTAATAACCATCACATTAAAATTTACCATAAAATGGAGCCTACAATTCGACGTAATACCTAAACACATTTGGTATTACTTTGAATTATATCGTATCTCAACGTTCATAATTTTACGGTAAGTTAATCACTCTAGTTTACTAAACTGTAAATATTGCAAAAAAAATCGTAATTATTATCGTACTCGTATTTAATTCTCATTATTATGATAATATGGTAATCTCATATTATTTTCAAAACTGTTATACAACTTTTAAGTATAATTGTATTTTATTATACACACATATTATAAGAAGAGAGAAAAATTCTAAAATTTTCCGATAATGATAAAATATATTGTGAAAAAAAAAAAATATTTTTTTTTGTGCAATTTTTGTTTTCTGTTTTATATTTTTTTTTTTGTGTTACGATATCCTTTTACTTTTCATCTGTGATAGTGTTGTGTACTTATAATCAGCAAAGCGAAAGATTTTTATTCTATATTTGTTATCACTCAGACTCCATTCTGGAGTAGTTAAAAACGGATGTTTAAAGCGCATAAAATTTTTTATTTTTTGAATTTTAATGCAAAAAAAAAAATAAGGCAAAAAATTAAAAAAATAAGAGAATAATCGAAATTAAAAAAAAAATAAGTTCTTTTTTTGAATAATTTGTAATACTAGTAAAAATTATTGTGCAAAAATTTTAGCCTTTATTTAATAGTTCGTAATCTTCGGATGCTAAAATTTCTATTTTCGGAATTAAAATTTTTGATTTGTCTAAAATTTTTAGTAAATTTTTGAGAAAAAAATGTGAAATCGTAATCAAAATTATTTCAAAAATATTTTATATTTTATATGAAATTCTAATTGTATAACAAAAATTCAATTTTATATGTTCGAAATATATACGATATATAAATATAATATTGATTATATTAAAAAATAAATAAATTTAAAATTTCTTATTTTAATTAAAATCGTTTGAAAAAATCCAAAATATTTTCTCATACTGACTGTGTTGATTTCTATTTTCTCCTGTAGATTCAATTGTG